CTAGCTTATGTGGGCATGCTGGGCTGCAGAAGGACACGATTCACTGCCTTATGATTGCACCTTGTGGATTTCCTCCTTAGTCCACCAGAGCCAACGAACGTGACCTATGAGGTAGAAGGAAGCTCCAGCCCTCGGGTAAGAAATGAAGGGATGTCCCCTGGAAGAAAGGAAGGATGGGTGGTGGGCAGTAAGTGTAGCCACAATATCCAGCTGATGGCTGATGCCGGAGGGGCACCATGGAGTGCACTTTGCTCCCCCGCCCCTCCGGTAACCTTAAATGTAACCCTGAGCTGGGATAAGGGCAGGCTTGGCTTTAACATGAACTAATTAACACCCACATGATTTTGATTCCTAGGATTTCCTCGACAGCGAAGGAACTCTTGATAATATCAGCAGCATCCGCGACGAAGACTCAACCCCTACCCCCACATCTGACATGTAGGCTATGGCTTTTTTTATCTTGGAAGAGTTGAGTGTCTAATTTCAGGGAGCAACAAAATAGAACCCCTGGCTTCTTAAGGGTGAGCAGTGTCCTGGTGGATAGAGCTCCGCTGTTCCCACTTACACCTTTGCCCTGCTTTGATCTCTTTTTGGACTGAAAGCAAAAAGAGATCCGGTTCCCAGTGTTCTCCATTCTTGGATAAGAAAGGGAAGAAACCTGGCTTTATCCTTGGCTTCCTTCTCTTCTCTGCAGGGAGAGAAACAACCAGAGAAAGGGCCTGTTGGTTGGCCTAGGACACAAGAGTAGCTCCTGCTCTGTTTGGCTACTCCTGGTGCAATTGGGAACCATGAGAGGTCATCCATCTCATACACAACAAACCAGGGCCCCTTTCAATCCCTAGCTTGTTGGGTTGTTTCAATTCCCGGCCCACCTTCCACTTTGCATAAAACTGGAGGAAAATGTGATGGAGAGTCCAGCAGGGTTATCCACATCATTTTCTTTCCTTTTGATTTCAATGCCTTATGTTTGTACTCTCCCTCAGTGCATCGGAGCCAAGGAAGAACGTGACTTACGATGTGGAAGAGACCTCCAGACCCTTGGTGAGAAGCAGAGGCTTGTGACTTGGACGAAAGGCAGGGGTTGGGGTGGTGGGGCTGGATAAGAGGAGCCAAAATGTCCAGCTGCAAAATGCTCCAAGACGGTTTAATTGGGTAAAGGTTGACCCCCGCATGCCCTGAGTGCAGCCTTGGGCAGAGCTTGGGGTAAGCATAACTTGAGGGAAATGAACGAATTAACACATGCACCATTTGGGTTCCTAGGATTACCGAGACCAACAGGACACACTGGATGATGTGAGCAGCATCAAGGATGAGGAGTGGTTCCCCTCTTCCAAGTCGGCCAGGTAGGCCCTTCTCAGGTAGTGGAAAGGTCAGGGAGGGCATCCGTTTTTGCAAGAGGTCTGTCCCAATTTGGTCACTTCACTTATTAGAGAGTCAAGGGGTGGATTCTTAAGGAACAATAAGCCAAGCCCTCCACCTTGTTGTGGATGAGCATCCTGCTGGTGCCCTTTGTTCAGCTCCTCTCACTTGAAGCGTTACCTGGGTCTGCTGGGTGTTCTGGCACCAAGACGCTCCGCTCCCCCCTCCCCATGTTTGTTCCCTTCTGGTCAGTGGAGAAAAACTCCACGGTTTGTCCTTGGGTTCCTTCTCCACTCTGTTGAGAGGGAACCAACCAGAAAAGGAATCTGTCCGCTGGCAGAGGACACAAGAAAAAAAAATTAGAGAGAAACCCCTGCTTTCTTTGATTGCTCCTTCAGACAGTGGTAATCAAGAAGGCTCATGCATCATCACAGTAATCTTATACAATAAGAGGCAATAACCCTGTCGGTCTGGTGTCTAACTTGTTGTGTTGTCTGAAGTCTCCCAGTATTTCCTTGATTCTCATGGTAAAATTAGATCTTGGCCTGGGACAGAATACATTGTCTCTTTAAGGACGGAACAAAATATATGCTCTCTGTTGTCTTCCTGGCATGTTTCTCCGTTTCGGGGGGATCTGGGTGCTCACACTTTCATAGTTGTGTCTGGCACAGCAAGGCTCCTCCTCTGCTTTTATTTTCTGACCCATCAATTCCCTCTCCTCCCCTCTCCCTTTCTAGTGTCCTGCAGACACAGAGGAACCAAACCTTCACTGTTGAAGAGTCCTTCTCTGTTTGGGTAAGACAGGAAAGCCTGCCTGGCACATAAAAGAGCAAGAGCTGGAGGGAGGCATGGTCCGAAATACATCCAAAGTTTTCGCTGGGTTTCCTTCTTTCTCTTTCATTTGCCTGGTTCCCACCACTCCTTTTCCTCTTCTGAAATCCCAAGAAAGTCTTTCAATGGGGAGATAACAGTCTGGTTGTCCTTCCCCCTTACCATTTCTTCACTCCCGTTCCCGCCGACTCTAAGGTGGCTGCACCTCCCAGAGAAGTTAAGCCAGTGGGGAAGAAGTCAGATGCTCCTTCTCTGAAGAGGAATCAGTTCTGTTGAAAGGACCGGTCCTTGTTTCAGAAACTTGAGGTCTGACAACAACCCTGACTCAGAATGCGGTCGTCATTCTGGAAGCATGGTCTAACCATAGTTCTCAGGTTTAAGCCCAGGTCTTGGCATAATGATCATTTTGTGCCCTCAAGTCCATTCCCACATACACCCAACCTCTTCAGGGTTTTCTAGGAAGATAAAACTAAAAAGTGGTTTATTATTCCCTTTTTAATGGGGCACAATGGGACTGTGCAGCTTGCCTGGAGGTGTGGCATTGGTAAAGGTTTTCTTTGAAACTGGATAAGAAATTTATGAATTCCATTCCTAGGACTCCTTGGAAGAACAGGGGACCCAGGATGATTTGGGCAGTGTGCAAGAGGAAGCATGTGTGCCTTCTCCCCATCCAACCAGGTAATCTGTTCGCTGAGGTTTTGGTATTTTGGGGGTGGGACCGAGAAGACACAACCCGCCCAAAGCCTGGGTCACAGTATATATGGGCACCTTGATGAGCACGTAGCTGCTTCCGGCTGCTGCTTTGCTCAAGGCTGGGTGTTATGAGAGTGGATCTAGAAGTCACAGATTACAGTGAGTCAGTCATTAAATAAGAGATCCAAGAGTATCCGAGGCAGGAGATCTGCTGCCTCTCTTGGATTATTGGGCTGGAGGGACCCATAGTTTGCAGGGCTGTTCTTGTCTTTCATGCGGTGGGTTCTTTCCTCTAGGGTTCCGGAGCCAAGAGAATGCGCCTTCACTAAAGATGAGTCTCCCTCTCCTTCGGTAAGGAAAGAAAGG